AAAATTGCAATGAATTATGCATAATTACATGTAACTAACCCTAACCATAAAGTAAGTGCATGCAATCAATTAATAATAAGTAACCTAACCATATACCAGACGTACATATTTCTTATTTTGTGCTTTAAAACACTACACCACCTGACAAAAGTCTTGTCGCCTATAAAAGTTTTATGAAAAACAAAAAAACAACTTGATCCTAGTTGATCATTTGCAATCAGTAGTGACTTATATTGAGGGAAAAGGTCTCTAGATTCTGCTTATTTTACCAAAATAAAATATGATCATGTCTTGATTTTTTATGGTTTAATTAGGACACTAAGGTCAGGCTTTGCTGAGACAAAAGTAATCACTTAACAGAAATAATGTACAGTATAGCATATAAAGTCATGGTGCAGTGGAAAAATAATTAATATTGTGCATGACTCCCATGAGCTTGGAGGACTGCATCCCTACATCTCTGCTATGACTCACATAACTTAAGATTAATAAGTCATCTGGAATTACAAAGAAAGCATTCTTGAAGGACTCCCAGAGTTCACTAAGATTCTTTGGATTCATCTTCAATGCCTCCCCCTCCCTCTTACCCCAGATATGCTCAATACAGTTCATATCTGGTGACTGGGCTGACCATTCCAGGAGCACCTTGAACGTCTTTGCTTTCAGGAACTTTGATGTGGAGGCTGAAGTATGAGAAGGAGCACTATCCTGCTGAAGAATTTACCCTCTCCTGTGATTTGTCATCTAATGGGCAACACAAACGTCTTGGTACCTCAGAGGCTGTTAATGTAGCCATCCATCTCTCACACACCCCCATACTGAATGTAACCCCAAACCATGATTTTTTTCTTCACCAAACTTGACTGATTTCTATGAGAATCTTGGGTCTATGTGGGTTCCTATAGGTCTTCTGCAGTATTTGTGATGATTGAGGTGCAGTTCAACAGATTATTCACGGGAAAAATCCACTTTCTGCCACTTTTCCAATGACCAACCAGTCAAGTTTTTATTTGTTGCTCTTAAAACTCAGATTGACGACAATACCTATGTCAGGTAGTGTAGGTACGGTTCATTATGGTTTAAAATAGAACTGATCGGATTTCTTGCCAAAGGCCAAGCCTCAATAAAATAATTACTCAATCTTATGTCCTTCTCATTCACAGAATGCATTGGGTATTTGACTAGCGCAGTCCTCAAAGACTTTAGATTTTAAACCTCATGAGGATGCCTAGAACATAAATGTGGCTGGATTTCATCACACAAGCCATATTTCAAACATCCCTAGAGATGTTTTTTCTCACTCACTCGCTCTCTCTCAATCTGTGAAAGTCTCAGACTGATGCCACAGTGAATTGGCAGAAATGCTGAATGACCTTTTTGGACCACTCGGTGAAAATACACACGCTTGCTGTCCACATGACCATACTGTGTGTGGCCTTCATCCTCACCTCACTGAGACCATCACATCCCCTACCTGACCTCTGAAAAAGCAATAAAACCCAACAGCAAATACTGCCTTTGGGTAACAGAGCTGAAAACTAGAATAACAAATTCATTAATGCATCACTTTAGTCTGTGTAATGAAATAAAAACAGACATAATGGAATATAGCTACGAATTCCATTTGAAGATGCAGATAATCTTTTTATTTAAAAATACGAGGTCTCTTAGCCTATTTTTTTAATATAGATTCTTCCTCAATTCATTCATCTTAAATACTTTAAGCTGATTACACTCACTGAGAAAGATTTGCATTAACAGATTGAAGAACTTCCCAACAGTCTTCATAGACAGATTTGTGTAAAACCACCACACGCAAACCAGAAAACTGCACTCTTGTGATGACTACACGAAGAGAGACAAGAAAAACTGAAGGCAGTAAGGGCGTATACACACTGTTAAAAATAACTTTTAATTAGCAGTTGCTTGGATCTTGTGATTCGCAGGTGTTTTACATTTCTTTAACTGCATTATGAGACCTTGAGCTCTGTACTATCAACTTTTGATGTTGTAAATCTAACTCTACTGTTCAAAAAACTGACTTCAATTGAAATTTGTTGTACTTTGAAACAACAAATAATATAAGACATAATACATACAGAAACAAATCTGACAGTTCATCAGTGTTTTAGCACAGTAATTTGTATGATAAACCCATATCATATATCATTTCAAATTACTAAAAACGTTAATAAAAACTCTTTAATCAACATTTGTTGGAGCAAAACTCAAGGTCTAATAATGTTAAATGAAAGTGACAACAAGCTACAAGCAACCGTTAATAACCATACTTTTAAAAAAAACTAAACTGCATGTCAGCACAAAGTTCTTAAAGAATCATTTAACCTTTTTTAATGACATCTTTTATTCTTTTTCACACAAGTATGTGCAGAATTGTGCAAAACAATAATAAAAGTTTTTGTGAACTATTTGTTCCTGGTTCACTTGGTGAACCACTATCATTTTTAAAGCCAATCCTGAAATGGCAAACCCCAGAAATGTTATTTAGGTACTGTATATGTTTTGTTACGGGACCGAACATTCCAAAATGACTGTGAACTGGGCTAAATGCACTCATAGTTTTTTGGCTATTATATCATATTTTGTTATAATTTGTAAAGAGCTTTAAAAAGTGTGTGAAGAAGTCGAAACCATAAATCACTTCCTTACACACAAAAATAAAGGTCTACTGCCAGAAGTGTGTTTCCAATCTCTGTATAAATACAAAAACCAAGCATTCTTGAACTTTCTTGTCCTGTTTATGATCTTGTGACATTTCCTATTTTTGTCTTGTTTACATCAGATCCATATTTTAGTCAACCGGCAAAAAAGTTAGTGAGGAAGTTGACCAAGACGCATCTTTTAAGGCAGTGGCTCATAACCTTTTTGTTTTGCCTGAGACCCCCTTTTCCATCTGCAAATGTCTTATTAATTTGGACGGCCTCATGCCTTCATTAACAAGAACTTTGTCACAGATAAATGCACTGTTGCAGGGGCTTTGAGAAAATAGAATAAAACCATAGTTCAGGTAACTATCTTGGTTTCTCCTTCATTTCGTGTTTCCAGTATTGCTAGTGCTGTGACCCGAAATGTTTGGAGCTTCCTCACCGGGGACCAGTATACTTGGGTTAAGTATTGCTATTAGCTGCTAAAGGTGAATCAGACTTTTTTTGTGGAGGAAGAATTATAAATTTGTCCATTTTTTGGTCAACCAGGGGATAAAATCAACTACGAAAAGATGATTGTTCTCTTAATTGCCCACTGCTAAACTGCTGTTTTAAGGGGTCTCAGTTCACTTATTAGCTGTTCACTAGGGTATATATTTTAGCATTCCCACTAAAGGCTGGTTTATACTTTTGCATATGCCTGCAGCGCAAGCCTTGCGCATAGCCATGTATATATACTTCTGCATGATGTTTGTGTTGCTCTGCAATAACACCTCCAAAACTCTAGCTGGCAGTAGGTAATGTTAGTTCCTCTGTATCAAGTTTCTTTGTGGGTGTTTTGTTTTTTTCTGAACGCTACTTTAATGTACAAGTAGCTAAAACTCGCTAATTCAGAGGTGGGAACCGGCAGACGTACAAAAACTTTAATCATGAGGTAAACACAAAACTAAGTTTCCATCTGCAGCTCCTTTACCTCCTAAACACTCGCTTCATCGGGCTCATGATTCTCAGCACCGCCCACACTCATCACAGCTACCAAGCTGACCAATCACAGAGCTTGTGCTATGAGTCGTTGCAAAGTATAGTTACATTTTTTGAGAATTGCGTGTCAGCATCGGCATCAGCTACAGCGAGGGCTATACCAAATCAGCCTTTAGTTAAATGAACCACACTAAGAGCACTAACACTAGAATTTGGTTTGTGAGGTTTTTGAACCCTATCAGGTTTGTAAACACACCATATCTATCTGCGTCTGCTTTGAAAAACAACGTAACTGTAGAGCTGTGAAGCAAACCATATTCTCTCAGTTTTCAATAGTCTGCAGTGTGCAGGCATGTGTTCAGACAGCGCACTATTAGCCAATGACACGGTTTCAGATCCTCACACACGAGAGTCTCACATATTAATTAAGGCCAGAGTTGAACCTGAGTGCAGTCCACACACACACACTAATACTCACACACGCTAGAGTTATTAACCTTAAACCAAGGCTAACAGGCCACAAAGTGACCTCCTCTCACATCAGGTGACGTAACCGCTCAGGAATACCTTCAACACACACACACTTAGAATAGCAGATTAAAGCACTTTACACAAGCAACGAGTAGCTGCTTGAACAGATGAAACTGATATTCCTCATTTGAATACATTAATAAATGAGCACATGTCGGTGTCTGTTTCTGTCAGTGACAGATGTAATGCACCTCCTACATCGCAGCAACATCCGCACAAAGCGCACTCGCTGACTTTCTGCTGTCTGTCTGAGAGGACGGAAACAGCTTGATGCTCTTTTGAATTGGAAAGAAATTTGAAGCACACGGCACAGTGCATTGTCCCTACGTATTCCACTAAAATGGGAATGGATGACTGCGGATAAGCGGACAAAGACCGGCACACTACACGGGGCAGCCTTAAGAAGTGAGTGACATGTGGATGAAAGCTGTGTTTTAAACACGAGATACCACACAAAATTAGGACGGCAGAAGGCTGGAAACCTAGAGAGTGCCTGCACAAAAAGATGACGGGGGAAAATCCTGGGATAATCGGAGGTGACAGTGCAGCCCATGCGTCTGTGAAACAGGTATGGATGCTCAGTCAGAAGCCGATGGCCCCCCACATACAAACCCAGCAACAAAGAAAGCACATCAAAAGCGTCTGCGTCACCGTGATTCATCTCCTGTGACTGCACACGAATGGGTAAAAAAATAAATAAATAAAGCAGAATGAATGCCCAGGATGATGATGATGATAATGAACAGAAAGAAAGAGAGAGTGAAAGAGCTCTCCACTAGATGTGTTTCACAAGCCAAACAATGCTAGAACACAGAAGAGTACCTGTGTCACTCTGACATCTCCTGCAGGTGGTGGTTTCTGTAGGGTTCAAATTCAACAATTTACTCAAAAAAATTAAGACAAGATAGTATCAGTAAGCAGAGTTGACGTCATCAATGGGTGAACGGATGTCCTGGTGGAATTGATGGGACTTAACGGGGCCCTGATTCTGCCTCGGTCTGCTGTGCGAAACACTGACTTCTCATTTTAGAGGACGAAATGATCTAAAAATCAATGCGTTTGCTGAAATATTCCAGGTGCTTGCACATTTGTCAGAAATTTCAAGCTAAGCAGCTCTAGAGCGTTATACGCATTTTGGGTGGAACACAATAATATCACTACTAATAAATTAATAATGCCTTTAAATGTATTTACAAACAGTCATTTGAATTTAATTGTAAAATCAATGACAAATCTACAATTCAAAAAGGCATCACAAAACACCTCATGATGCATTATTTCAATTTTAATTTAATTAATATGCATCAATCTTGATGGCGTGTCATATGACTAACTCATTTGTCACCATATGAGGAACCATCTAAATATCAAATTAGTCATAACAGCAAAGACTGCTGATTTAACCTTCATCTTTTTTCCTACAGACTATGACTAGCTTCCGGACTTTTATGCTGGTCCTTATGACGAGACAATTTTTGAACAGATGGCAAAAAATGTGGTTGCGATGATTTAGTGCGCAAGATTCCTATACTGCACAGATGCCGCAGTCTCAGCTGTTTATTCATATGCTTATTCATATCGATGATGTTGAAAACTTTCCCACAACTGCTTTATATTTCTCATATGTTCCAATATGCTTTTGATGAACACAAAGTTCAAAAGAACAATAAGTATTAAACACATTTTAAATGTCTTAACTGCAACTTGTGATCACTTTTATTGCATTTAATTGTTATTTTTTATACAGTACGTAAATATAAATACATTTATTACATATAATATAAATATAAAGCCATGAACATAACATTGTAGGAATGCCAATACAATACCAAAAACATGAATTCATAAATAAATAGTCATTTCCGCCAATGCCACTAATGGCTCGATTCAGAGATATAGGGGTACGATATAGCACCGTTCGGTATGCTTTTATATCCGTTTTCACTGTCAAAAGATGCCAAAAAGCAAACACCAAGTCATTTCACTTGATGGCCATCTTTGAAATGACTCTCAGGCATTTCGCTCAGTCAATCTGTCTGAATAGAGCAACATCCAATTTTCCAAAATTGCTTGCCAAGCTTACGGTTAAATTTTATATTAAGAATAACCAATATAATTAAACAACAAATGTCTCTTTAGTTTCATTCCTAACATTTGAATTACACAAAATCTGCAGAAATGTACGTCTGGTCTGAGGCCCTCTCCCAGAGACTCACAAGTCTATAGTGATTGCTGATTGGCTCCCATACTAGAAGGCGGGGCTTCATTCTCCATATTGACCGTTATACTCTTCCCCTTTCAAAACTATACAAGTGACATGTCTTGTGTATTCTGTTAGTTCATTTCAGTAGCTGCATTCTCCGAAGGATGCAGACTTCAAAGGTGAGTCCTTCGAGGTCCACACAGGCCGAACCAAGTGTTTTGAAATGAGACGATCTAGCCTAAGGAGGAAAAATCTCGTCACCAGGCGACAGCAACAGTTGCTGTTAATAAGCGGTAATAAAATTGTAATTACTTTTTTTTTTCAGTGATTTTGAAATGGATTTAAAGCAATCTAAAGGCAAAGCCGGGTTTACAAAAGCTACAAATATATTTTCTTTGATCCATACATGTACACATAAACATGTAAACTGTCTATAAAAGAACTTTTTAGTAAGACATGTCATACTTTTTTTTTTTTTTTTTTTACATGTGTTTAGATTTCGAAGTTAAAATGAAACCTAATTTATACATTTAATGCAGAGTTTTCATTTAAAATGTCCTGTCGTTATCAGCATGCAATGAATCTTGGGATGTTCGAGGCCGCAAAAGATCCACCAGTTATGTCCTTCATTACCTGGAAAATGAAGGATACATTTTTAGGCTGCACGTGAAGGAGCTTTCGAATTTTTTTGAAATTAGACAGCCTTCGTCGTGTCGCAATGCCACAATGCACTTCAAATGCATCCTTCGCAGGATGCAGCCTCTGAAATGAGAAAGAGCCGTACCGTACCACTAAGTCAGCAGACTACTGTTTGTAGTCTAACTGTTTATGGTTGCCAAGCAACATAGAAACTACTGAAAAATAACAGCAATCTTTGAGGTTACCTTAATCAACACTTTTCATCTTTGAACGCAGCTCATCCTATCAGAATTTAAATCAACAAATTTTTCTTTCAAAAACCTTTACAGTAATTAGCAAGTTTATGGTTTGTTTAGTTTGTTAACAGCCTACTTCTTCAGATGTTTACCTTGCATCCACTTTGTAACCGATGGCAACAGTAAATGTTTGCTCTGGGGCTATGACACTATCAGGGTCTGTGGAAAATTTTGCAGACAGCCGAAGTACAGCTAGCATTGTAAGATATGACTTGTAATGCCTTTCATCATCTTAAGTCCTCATCTTAAGTAGTTTTTGTATTGCTCATTATCATTTTACACACGAGATAATCAATCAAAATGTATTAGATTATTCTAATGTCCCAGGGTTACCAATACAACTTCTAAAAAATTCAACAAAAACATGGTGCTCCATTGTGGTCTCTATTTGTCTTAACCTCAAGATTAACTAGCATCCTTTTAAGCAGCCTAGGGTAACACATTTGAACAGCAAACATTAGCATAACATCTGCATGTTTAAATGAAGTAAATCCAGCAAACACAAACGAAACATAGTGCAGGCAAAGTGCAGCGAGCTATTAAAAGCTCCACAGCACAGAGGAGGAAGTTTCACACATGAACAGCAGGATCCTCATTACAGCAAACCGCTGTTTATTTCCCCATCAGCATGTACTCTGAGGCCGAGAGCGTTAACAAAACTTCACAGGAACCTGTAGACTTTGCTCGAGCAGTATATTATCCTTATGACGCTTTAACTGCTGCTCTGAAGCAGTTTCAAGAAACAACTACTTACTATAAATATCTAGGGATCTTGCCTAGACTCAGACACTCCTGTAGAAGCACAAGAGATGAAGCCGGTGCTTTCTAAATATACAAACAGCAGGAGCACAGCAGTCTACAGAAACTCCCATGATCATGATCCCTTTCAATCGGCCCATCGAACAGAAGCCAGAATGCAACGCATGGCAAACCAATGATTTACAACAACCCCGTAAAGAAGGAACATGCACTCGCCGCCAACAGTAGCCGGAGGAAGAAACTCTAGAGCCTTTGACGCTACACTGTCGCCAGGCTCACGTCAAAGAGCTAAAGAACTGACAAAAACACTGTGCCTCAAGTAGGTCAGCTCTCCTCCTGGAGATAATCAAGCCCACTCTGACCCTCTATGTGTGAGCGTTTGTGTGGGAGAGAGGGAACTAGGTCAAACGCAGTCAGTTGTTACGACTCGATCATGTGCAGGACTCTTTACGAGTTAGTTCCTGCGCATACACCTGCCCGCATGCACTCCAACCCCTCACGTGACTTACCAACGCTCCGGATCTGGCTCTCATCGCAGTCTTCTCATTGCACAGAGAAAATGGGATTTTACCAGCAGGCGAAGACAAACCCGTGAGAAATCTACAAGCTTTCTGTCTTTCTATCTCGCTCTGATTGTCTGGGGCGCTCTCTCTGTTTTCCCTCTCTTCGCCTGTCCAGCGACTGCACAATGCACATCAATTATTCAGCGGCGGTCTCTGGGTTTCCAGTGCAAAGCCAATCACAGATGGAGTTCTGTGCTAATGGGCTCCTGCTATACCTGGCTCCTCTGCTCCAAGATGTTGCCCGTGGGGAATCAGATTAAGCTCCTCCAAAACTTCAGACACACACACACATACACACAGATATATACAATGACAGCCTGTAAACTGTCTGCAGTGCAAAACCACAAAATGAACAGGAAGCAACGTTGAGTTTCAAAAGGGTTAAAAAAAGAAGCTAGAGAGACAGAGAGAGAGAGAGAGAGAGAGAGAGAGGGATGTGGGGGGCTGGGAAAGAGAAGAGCCTCAGAGGGAGAAAAAAAGCAGCAAATGTCCTCTCACCTCAGATTTATGGTGTTGTAAGTGACGTCCACATGGCTTAAACCCTTGTCATTAGAAACTGATGGAAGCCACACATTCACACACACATACACACTCACACACTCACACACACACACACACACACACACAAGCATCCATGCAATGCGACGGCCACTTTGCCAGAGGGCGGATGGGGCGGGGGGGAGGTGGGGGTGGGTTGTTGGAGCAGGGGCGGCTCACATTTCAAACTTGCAAAGAGAGGGGCGGGGTCTGTCATGGCAGACGGGCTGTATCTTGGCCCGTGACCAAATCATCCCCAGAAAGACTGAGAACAAACAACACGCTTGGATCAATTTGGTTAAAGCTGCGTTCGCAGCCCCACGATTACTGCTATCAAAGCGGGTGAATCCCGTCCATTGGAGAGCTAATCACATGACACTGATGTATAAATCCATCAGACCGCGCACGCTAATTAAGCCCGAGGCTGGTGGGCGGCCCTCTTGAGTGTCGTGCGAGGGTGAAATTAATGGAAACTGTGTTAGCTTTTAACGCTAAGTGCCTAACTTGACACTTGCTAACACTGTTAATTACACACATCTAAAAGTGTTGGATATCAGAAAGAGATCCAGCACTTCCCCGGGCTGTCAATAGCACGCGTCCATTAATGAATTAATACATAGCTGTTGAATTAGCACCGCCTAATCTGCTAATAAAAAAACTGTATCAACAGCAGAAAATTCCTTGACGCTGCAAAACAAAAACAGCAGTGTAATAATTTCCACTGACATCAAATTAGCAGTAATTCATTAAAAGCTCCAGTATACTGCAGCCTCAAAAACTTACAATGTAGAAGGAAGCATCAAGACCTCGGCGCGCACACCGTCTCCCTGCCCGACATTGAGGCGCTGCTTGTGACAGATA